TTCCTTAGATACAAAATTTAAATTAGAATTGTCTGCATAATCAGATTTTATTGCTATTCATTAAGCATTCATGATTAAGTATTTCTGTCCCACAGCAACTGTTCCAAGGCATTAAGAACTTCAGTGTTAAAATATTATTTTTAAGTAAGTGTTCAGGCTACAGAAAAATCCAAACTAACAAATGATTTTCAGTGAAGAGGAAGTAACCGAAAGGACTTTGCAATTCTGCTAATAAATAGCACACACCACACACTTTTCACTCTGCAGTATTTATGTATGTTAATATCAAAACCAATAGTTCTGTGTTTTTTTCCTAAAATAAAATGTTTCATGTGATTATGATCAAGCACCATTGATTACAACAGCTCGGGTTGGTTTTTTAAGAAGTTCTCAATGAAAACAGAAAACCAACAGGACAATTACTAAGGATTCTATAGATACTTCTCCACATTTGAGTACTCCCACTACCAATAGGAGTCACAAGCATGAAGTCACACACACCCTACACATTGCAGAAAACTTCTTAGGTCTCAGAATCAATTGTGAAATGATGTATACATTTTTTAAGCTCTTCAAAAATAAAAGGTCATGCCTGATACACCACATGAAAAGAGGACGTCGTCCTCCACTATTTTTTGGACTTCTACTGGGTTGACATTTCAGGATTACTTTTCAGAAACAATGTTACCTTTTGATATTTGTTCGGGAGTTTCTGTGGGACATGTAAGTGAGGGTCCTGTGCAAAAATATTGGCTGTAGGGGGAAAACAAAGAAAAGGGTTATGCTTTAATTAAAATTTCCTACAAGTCCAAAGTAAAGGAGCGATAAAGACCAATTACTCACTGCTATTAGATTCCGGGTACGTAGAAATCTGTATATCTGTGTTGGTTCTAAGAAAAAGAAATACGTGTTATCCAACATACCTTCTACCTCCAGAAAGAGCCTTACATTGATATAAAAATATCTTCTTTAGCATGTTTTTTGCTCTTTAAAATAATTATCACATAAGTCACTGTTTAAATGAAGAACCACAATGTCCAAATAACTCCAAGTTAACAAGTGAAAAGTTACTCTACCTACTGTACAACACAAAGCAAGTTCTTGTTTAAGCTACCATAAATCAGTAGTCACAACTATGACTGCTCTTGCTTTCCACAAAGTATGTTTCTTACAGGCTTTTTATCATAAAAAACCTCAACCTATTACAACCTATTACCAAATAGGTAAATTTTCTTCACAAAGTTAAGGAGCATGTGTGATACAATACCAAAATAGTAGACTGGATTTACATAGTCAATTTGGTATCTGATTGTTTTATCCTTCTGGAAAGTACCAAGGTCACTTGCACAAGGTACCAAAATAAGAACAGAGACTGTCAGTTGACTACAAGACATTACACATCATTCTACAAGAAGAAATTCATTTCCAAAACCTTTTTACATTCATAGGATCAGAAAAAACGTTGATTCTGGTATAGCAACCACTGCTTCAAAGAGCAATCAGAAGGAAGATAATACAGCTGTGTGCAGTATAGACACAAAAGGGCAGCATCGTTTGAAATAGGTGAAACAACCAAAGTTCAAAAGATCTAGACTTGCCTACAGAAAAGAGGAGCTTCCGTTTAGTTTCAACCAATTCAGTTAAATCAGGACAAAAAAAAAGGTTTTTGTCTGGATCAGGTTATATCTAACGAGAATTCCAATCTAAACTGAAATACACCCTTTTTACACTGAAATAAAAGCCTGTTTCATTAGGTTATGCCAGCAAGAAATTAGGAAATGACTTGATAAAACACATTAAATGATGAGAAACAGAATGAAGAACACCTTGATTCCTGTGCTACAGCTGTTAACACTGCCTCCATTTCCCATATAAAGAAAAACAAACAACTATTTTTTAAGAAATAAAAAACTTTTTATTTTCAGATGACTGCAAAACAGTTATTTCAAACAGCTGGAAACCTTATTTTAGTTTATGGAATTCTGTGATTAAAAGTGAAGGAGGACAGCATTTTATACCTTTTATCACTTTTTAAAGATACTATTCAGCCTTATGAACACTTACGAATGTTAAGACCCCAAAGAATCTATTATTAGAGAGACATATTATTATTAGAGAACGAAATCCTAGAATTCTCAGTATTTCCTTTCAGAAGCCTGATGAAAACCAGTAAAATTCTGCTTAATGCAAATGATTGTAATGAAATCTGTGTTTTTCACATCAAGATGAAAGATGGAAAAGAAAGAAATTAAGCAACGTGCACTTTGCTAGAAAGTGAAAATGTAAAGTAGTCACAACTTTTAAAGCAGTATCTCGGGGGGTTTTAGTCTCCAAAAAAGCATGACACGATTAGAATTCAGACAGGTATGAAAACATTAAATTACACTCACAAGGATGTAATTTAATTTAAAGACAGCACACTGCTGCTTCAAATTTAGCTTTCCCAAGTAGAAAAGCTCTGAAACACACATTTCATCCTGCAAGCAGACATGTTTCTCAAGTGCTTATTATTCAGCAAAAGCTTAAAACGAATCCTTATCTTTTTCTAGCATATGACCTTGAAAAGGGGCAAAAACACGAAGGAAGAATGTGATTCGATACTACATTTGTTAGGATTTTTTAATCCATTATGTACTTATTGCAGTTTTCCCATAAAATTCACACTGTGGAGCTAACACACCACGATACATTTACAATGTTAACTTATTCCTGATCACTACCTGCACAGATCTGACAGACTGAGGCATGGGCAAGGGAATTTTTTCCCCTGCATCTTGGACGCGGACACTGAACAAACCTCTTAGAACTCATTTGCTACTTGACCTATTTGCAGTACTGTATTTACTGAACACAGAGCTTTGTTAACAGGGCTGATTCAAAGGACCCCACGTTAGTAAGGATTTTACAGACCACCAAAAACTCCAATGCTTTCTCAAACACTGTCACTGTCTATAGCAAGTGAGCATAAGCGGTGACAGCACAAATCCTAAAACAGGATCATGTATTTAATATGGCATTAAAAATTTCCTTCAAATCCTAGCAATTGCACAGAAATCTTTCAGTACAATGTAAGTCTACTGCTACACTGTGCTTTCGAAGCAGATTTCCATAAACAACTTTCTGGTGCATCCAAGGGGATTCTCCTCTTATCTGGCACTGCCACAGGGTGATGTGTGGGTCGCAAAGGTCAATTTCCAATATGAAATCTCAACTAAGGGACAATTATGGCCAGACAAAGAAAAACCAAGTACAGTGAAGTCTTAATCACATCCTGCCCCTGAAAGGGGTTCCAATGGTAGTCGCCAAAGGGGAAGAAGAGCCTCCAGGTTCTCAACTCCCCTGTGCCTCCAAGGGCTGTTAGAGGAGGGAAGGGAGCCAGCAGCCACCCCGAAAGCCTGATGGGAGCTACTACTGAGCAACCAAGTTCATCGGCTGGGCGCAGACACAACCCGCCCTCCGCTCGGCGGGCCCCGGCCCGGGGCGCCTCTCACCGCCCTGCCCCACACCGGCCCCCGAACCTCACGCTTCCGCCCGAGCCCCGGCGGGCCCCCGCCTCCCCGGCCGAGCCCCTTCCTCCCCCAGCCCCGCTCCCCTTCGCCCTCCTCCCCGGTCCCAGCTCCCTCCCTCCCCCGACCATGTTTACCCCCGGAAGCCCCTACTCTCCACAGCCCTCCCCTCCTCCTCCCGCCCTTTCTGCGGCGGCCCCAGCCGGTCCCGCCGGCTCGGGCCCCCACTTCCTCCCCCGGCCCGGTACTCACTCTCGAAGGCCTGAAGAAAGAGCTCGTGGTCGGCCTGGATCTGCTCCATCTTCGGCTTCTTCACGGGGGGCAGCGCCGCCGCCGCTGCCGCCGCCGCCGATGAGGCCGAGGAACCGCCCGAGTAGCCGCTTCCTCCGCCGCCACCGCCGCCGCCTGCGGCACCACCGGATTTGCCGCCGGGAGCCGCCGCCGCAGCCGCAGCGGAGCCCCCGAACCCCCCGCCGCCGCCGCCGCCTCCGCCGCCACCTCCTCCTCCTCCGGCGGCGCCGCCAGCGGAGCCCGAGCTGGGCCCCGCACCTCCACCGTGCTTCTGAGGAGCCATGGGCCTGGCCCCCGAGAGGGCCCCGGCAGGACGGAGACCGAGCGGGGAGGGAGGGGGCGGCTGGGGCGGGTGGGGTGAGGCGGGGGGAGGGGAAGCGCCGAGCTCCAACTCCTCCAAGTCTCCGCTCCGCTCTCCTCAGCGCTACGACCAGCCGAACCCGACGACCACGACACGCCCGCCTCCCCTACTCTCCCATTGGCTCCGAAGATGGCGCCGCACCGCCCCATTGGCCGGCGCGGGGCCCGCCCCCGCGTGACGCACGGATGGTTCTGGAAGAGTTTGGTTGGTCGGTGCGCTCCGCCGCTTGGCGCTTCTCCCCTCCCCCGCCTTTGAACTGAATTCGCGGGAAAGGGCCGCTCGCCCTCCGGCGCGGGGCATGCTGGGTAGAGCGGGCCGCCCCTCACCGCCGCGCCGCGCCGCGCCGCGCCGGCTCTGCCCTCGCACCCCTCAGGCGCTTCACCCGCAGATCCGCGGCTCTGTCCCGCAGCCTCCGCGGCCGCACAAGTTGTTGGTCGGGAAGCCGTCCCCTGCGCGGCGGGGCCGCTGAGGGGATGCCAGCTGAAGCTGGGGTTTGGTCGTTGAAAGAGCCAAAATAGTGGGAATAGAAGCATAAATCGGTTTTGTGGTATAAAAATATATTATATTGGGTCGGACGGGAGGTCCTGCCAGTGTCCCGTAGCTTTGACCTTGATGAAGCATGAGGTTTCCTCAGGACAGCACAAGAAACCACTCACAGGTGCAGGGAGACTTGAAGGCTGAGGTAAAATGTCTCTGTCCAGTCTTATTCTCACCTTTCTCAGCTTAATGACAACCTCAGAGCCCTCGTGGAAGTGAAAGTTGTGCCACTGTGGCCACCTTCAGCATCCTGACAGCTGCCCTCGTGTGGCCGGGCACATGCGCAGCATCAGGCGGTCGTGTGCTCTTGGGCTGCCTCACTGTGTGTGATGAAACATAGTAGAGTCCAAGTGCAGTGGGGAAATTCAGACCTGGCTTTAGTTAATCAAGTCCTTACCAGTGGTGTGAGAAACTCAGTCCATAAAAGGCTTTGACAGCCATCCCATTTGATTTGCTTCCTTTCGTTAAACTTGAAGAGTAATTGTACAAGGTAAGGTAAAAATTGCCTACGTGTGAAACGGCCTCGAGTTATGGTACCAGATACAACTGTGATGCTGGCACTATACCATCTCCTAATTCCTAGTGTTAACCAAAATTAACTTATGAAGAGGAAAACCGTATGTCAAAGCCATGCTGTAAATGTGCCTTCCATTATCAACAGAGGGGGCTTCTAATGGGATGTCTCAATTGTCTGTTATTAACCTTCTTCTATTTTAAGAAAATGTATGTATATACACCCTATGTAAGTAAGATATATCAGTAAGATAAGTAAGTCTTTATCAGCTACTATTCCCCTCCCAGTTTGTTTTTTTACAAATCCTTAATATTTATACTTATTTGATATCTGAAACGTTAATGTTATTTTTCAGTTACATCCCCTTTTAGTGCTGCATCATTTACCTTTCATGTTCCCTTTGAAAAGATCTTTTCTTTCCTTAAGCTTTTTTTTTTCTTTAAATGACTCTTCTTTCCTTCCATTTTTATCAGACACTGATGTTTTAGATGCCACCTTTTCTGTAATTAGTTTCAACCTTAATTTCCTTACATTTTTAGGAATTCATCTTTGTCACAGTTCACCTACATTCTATTTGTTCTTCCCTCCAAATAGAAACTTATTTCTAACATATCCTGTTACACAATTTGATCCTGTTTATCATAATTCTGCTTATCATATCCTGCTTATCATAATAATGTCTCTGCTTAGTATTCCAGTTTCTTGATCTTTTATCTTCTACTCAATTTCTCTACAGCATCTCATTTGTTGTGGCTGAATATTTCTTTAGTGGTTGATGCACTGTATGGTTCTAAGGACCTTACATGTAGGTTCTTCACTTATACCCAGGGACTTCCTGGGATGCATTGGAACAATCTTCTGAACTGAGACTAGATAGCAACAGCACACCAAATGAAGAGCATCTTTACATGATCGGGAGTTGATCTTGAGGTCAGTGATAGCCTGTGTCAAGTGACAGAAGGTAAAAAATATCATATTATGTGTGAGAAAGGCTCCTAAATGTTTTATAGCAGCAATTTTGTCATTGGAAGGTGTTCATTGCCTAAAATCTATAACTGTTACCTCCCTACTGTTTACAAGCCGCTGCTGCTTCTGGTGGCTCATCCTTCTAAATTTCAAAACCAGGAGGAGGAGCCAGAGGGCAACCTTCCAAGGAGGAGTAAGCAAGATAATTAGGCAATTAATCTCTGGCATTGGAGTGGGATCTGCTTGTGAACAGAGGAATTTAAGGTTGAGATTCTAGCCTTGAATGGGACAGGACGGTGCCACACACACCCACACACACTGTGTGCGTATGAGCCCACTGGAAGCATAGGACTGACTGTCAAATAGGGGAGTTTTGACACTGTGAGCCTGTTTTCCTTATCTGGTAGAGAGACTTGTAATTTTTTTAAGCTATTTGTTTAGATCTGCTGCCCTGGGCTGTTCAGGTGTACTTAAAGAGTGTAGACCATTGATGAGATACGTTCAGCTGAAAAAGCCTTAACAACTTTGAGATGTCACATTTGGGGCTTCATAGTGCATATGGCTAAAAAGAGCACAGGGCATAACACAGCAAGTAACTTCTACTTATTTTGCACAGAAGCAAGAAAATATATATTCCTTTCTAGAAAGACAAAAATCATTATGGTTTCTTCAGAAGAAATGAGCTGAGGCATGAAAATGTTATGTCCTTGACCTGCCTGTTAATAGAGTCCCTATGTACTTTATACATGCATTTATTAAAAAGTAATATCTTGTATCTATATACACGAGGTAACAGTAATAAGTTGGCCATAGGTAGCAAATGACAGGGTGCATGCAAAGCCAATGAAAATGTGTTTCTAATAAAGTATCTAAAAAAGACAAGCAGTGAAGTACAGTGTACCTGACTGAAATTCCTAGCAACTCATAAAATTTACAAAGTAAAAGATGATGACAAGTAGTGTATTTTTTTTTTTTTTGCTATAAATATATAAAAATCACATAATGCAAAAAAACAGTTTAATATGATAAATGGAAGAAACAACCACTTGCAAACCAAGCCTGGAACAAACCCCTGGCAGCGAAAGCAGAAGTAGCTGACAAAGGTGCCTTTATGATATGTCAGATTTATGTCTCAAGATGGCCAATCCGTTCTTGTTTTCATGTGCTGTTGGTGGGATTTGTGTTTGATATTCAAAAGATCAGATTTGCTTCCTGCAAATTGAAAGCATATGCTACTTCTGGATCCCTTTTTCCTAAGGGATTTTTGCAGCCGGTATGTACCCAGTGTTCCTGTCATCTTGACAGGCTAAACTGCAACAAGTTTTACCTCTTCAGATATGTATGAAGAAGTGCATAATATACATGCATAAATAGCACTTCCTGAAATGTTTCTTCATTTCATAGTTACATGCATTTCTTGGTTGCCTGTAGTACCTCTATAACCACAGCTACTTTCCAGCTTCCAGTCCTCCGAATTACTCTCAGCACAGGAGTATTTACAAAGTAAATCCTTTTTTTTAGAGGGGAAATAAGTACCTGTATACTTGGAGCTCAGTCTAAAGGAAAGTTCTATCAGTATTACACTGTTTTCCTCACCTTTAAACACAGGTCTGTCTATACAGATTGTTAGTAGCTAACCAAAGACTACTACACATCTAGCTTAGCTTCTGAGAACTTAAATATAACTTTGGAACAAAAAAGTAATGCTGACTAGGTGAATATGACCTCTTGGTCAATCTTTTTTAAAAGCTGCTTACAGATTGAGGCCACTACGACAGCCAGTGTCACTATTTATCAGGGAGTGCTATTGTATCACGTTGGGAAGGAGCTGAAGTGTGCTATTCAGGGTGCTGCTGAGCATAACAACCTCACAGCCAGTGTTCTGGGTAGCTGTGGTTCTTTATTTTGGCCTCAAGCTAGCAAGCACGTTCAGTGGGATTCAAGGGCATCTGGCATGGAAGAGACCTGCACTTCTATGGTTACACCCAAACTTTATTTCTTTCTTTTTTCATGCTTCCAGGTTCTCCTTCACACTCTCTGTCCAGACCACCAAACCCAGGTATTCCATGAGAGGAGTGAGAATACACAAATGCTGTAGAACCGAGACAAATAAAACTACTTCATGTATAGATGGGAAGGTATGGATCCCACAGCTCTATCACTGTACTCCAAATGCAGATGCAATTTCCTTCGCTTACACAAATAAACTTCACTAGATGCTGAGTTAATTTCATCTGCAAGAGTTATTAATTCATTTTTTCAGTTAATATTCTTTACTTTCAGCCTGATTTGATGTCAATCAGCAGTAACACGCTATGGAAATTATTAGATAAGGTACTTTTCCCTCCCTACTTGGAAAGCAGAAGTCAACTCCCACTTTGTGTTTTCCCAGTCTCTTATAAACAGAGGCTACATAATATTGCAGCTGGAGAAAGGGAGTAGCTGCAGCTTCCCGGGTAAAGGTGTGAGAGCAGGTCGGAGGAGTACTGAGTATATTTAGGATGGCAGGATCATATTGCTGTTGGGGTGGTAGCTCTCTGTTTCCGTTTGGTTTTCTGCATGTTAATATCTAGTGCTGCCCTGCTTTTATAAGCAAAGAACTAAGAAAAGAGAAAATAAACTTTAAGTGAACAACTGTACTGAAGCATGGCAAAGGGAAGAGCTAAGATCTTGCATAGCAATGAAAGCATTTTGATGTATAGCTGTGAATGCAGTATGTGTGGGAGATTGACAGTGCAGCCACTTGTGATTCTCATTCTTGTGTTTGGCTGGGGACTGCTTTTGTACAGAGCTGTTCAAATGTATTCCAGGAGCACAGCACTCAAGGAACTTGGCCCTCAGGGAACCTTAATGCACCCATAATGCTCAGCTTTCAGCCAGCAGGTTGCTTATGTGTCTTGAGTTAGTGTAGAGAGTGAAAACTGAGTGCACAGGATGGTTTGCACCAGAGTCACCTATCTTCTGCATTCACATGGTGAACAACAAGTAATAATTATTAGTTTTTATTGCTTAGTAGAAATGTGTGCTCATGAGTTTTTTCCTGGAGTTCTTTGAGTGATGTTTTAATATATTTTTAATTACTCTTCTACAATGAAATTTATTTACTGATTTTCAGTAATGATTTATTTTTGCTTGGTGGCTTTTTAGCAGTAGTGTTTGTCTTCAGTGTTTAGACAGTGGATGGAAAATAGCAGAATTGTTTTGAAAGTGTTATGAAAAGCCTAGGCCCAATATATTGATTTGGTCTAGAAAGGTAGGACATCTCTTAGGATGATTTAACTGCAAGCCCAGAAATGTACTAACAGTAAAAGCATTTATTACAGAAAAAGACATCTCATACAAGGAACTAAAAATAAGGTTTGTAAGGTAAAATCAGTAAGTTCTGGATAACAGCCACTTAGTTTTAAAGGCAAAGTTTAAAACAAGATCTTTATTCATATAAGATTAGATCAAAATCAAGGGAAGTGTCTGCTGAATAAAAGCAAGGCAGTGCTATTTCCCTTTGTTGAAACCTGAATAAATTCCATGTAGCACCAAAGACTCTATAGGTGGGAAAAGGGCTCGTGGAGTCTTTGTGCAGAAGAAGGACTGGTGTTGCTCAGGAAGCTCACACAGCACTCGGAAGAGACCTGATCTGGCTTAATGGTTGGTCTGTGCCCTTCATTATGAATGTCTTCATCACATTTGTAATTGTTTGAAGAAATGAAGGGGCTTGAGGTGAACTGTAGAACAGTTCTTGTCCCTTTTGTCCTCAGAGAAACTGGATCTTTGCCATGAGCCCCCTTTTTAAACGTGAGCTTCAGAAAACTCCAGCTTTTAATATGTTAATCCAGAGTTGTTGGACTTTTTAACAGAAAATCTGTAGACCTCCTATATAATAAACTCACAAAACCCCCACCCACACTACAATGTATTTAATGTGTGATTCCAAACAAAACACACAAAAAGCTATGCCAAATCTTGACATTTAAATGCTTAATACATGGAAATAGAATAGGAATCACACTAGATCATGCTGTATTTTCAGAGACATAGCATATGTGGTACTTACTGAAAAACTAATAATTCTAAGTGAACTTTCAGGAATTGTGTTCCCTAAACTGAGTCCTGGAAACTGCCACAGATACAGCAACTGAAACACTTCCAATGGAAACTCAAGTATTAAACTCAGAAATGCAGGTTAAAGAGAAACTGTTGGGAAGATGTGAGAATTAAGTCAGTTGCAGGTGTAAATAGAAGTTTCTCACCAAAGGGGTCTGTTGGCAGTGTAAGAATAAAAGCTTCAATCAATCAGAAAGAAAAATATGGGGAGGATCAAAGAATATGTCAATAAATAGTAAAATGAAACCTCACATTAATTAGCTTGCAGATTAATTTCAACTTTAAATAAGGGGTAAGTTTTGACAGCGACTGATTCTCTCTTTTGTGGCTAAACCAAGTACAGGTTAACAAGATAAGGAGCTTGAATTTTATCATCAGCAATTACATAAATGATAAGATCAGGGCAGAGACTGTTTTCCCAGTGTTTTCCATTTAGGCATATGAAAGTCACACACAGGAGAGCTTATCTAAGTGTCATATGCAAGTTACCACATTATCTGTGGGTTTATATGCTAGAGGTTGCTTCAGAAGGCTTTGACAAGAGTTTATCTTGTTTTCAGAATGCTGCTTGGGATATATGATTCTGCACACGATAATCTAAATTATCCTTACTCCCGAAGCAGTTTTACTGGTTGTTGCCATGACCGTGTACTTTTATCATGCTAAGCGCATCTCCACAGAAGGAGGTAAGAAACATAGCAGGAGGCAAATTGTGAGCAATCCTAGTCCCACTTTTTGGAAGGAGAAATAAATCTGTATATGGCATATTTTATGCTCTTTGGCATGTCAGTTTAATTGATGCTGGAACTGACATCTCTGTGTTTAAAAGATATGACACTTTGCTCTGAGGAAGTTCTATCTTTAGCTGCCTTGTTACTTACAATATTGGTAGGTCATCCAAGGCCATGCCACAGTTACACTGCTTTTCATACCTAGACAGGTTAGTGAGATAAATAAAGATTAGCAGGACTCTGCTCTCCAGAGCTTTGGCAACAATCCTAAGTACAAATGTACATGCAGAAAATAATATTGAATTAAAGTTACTTAAGCAATGCATTTGACAATTTAAGAGGATGTAGGAAATGACTGATATAGTTTTAAATAGTTGAAATGTGACTGATATTCCACTGGATTATGAATTGACAACTAGAATATGATGACTGACCAGTTATAACTGCCCTGCTGCATTTAGACAGACTGACAACTACTTACTAACCAGCCAAATGACAAAATTGAATTAAAAGGCATACTTATAGCCACTACTGTACAAGCCTCTGGAGGCCCTGGATAAACATATGGATCTTGTAGTGAGTACCAGATGTGAACTGGCATGGAAGCAATTCCCCCTCACTGAAAATGCCCCATGTATAGATGTTCAGACTTGGGGGCAGTTGAAAAGAAGCTGAATGCCTCAAAATGAGTAGGAGGAAAAATCTGATTCATAAAAATTCCAAGTTCAGAGCCAAAGCAAAGAAGAATGTAAAGGTCTTGTCTTTTTCAAGAGACTATATGTAAGAGTAAATTGTCAGATAATAGTTCTGTTAAGGCATTGAATGAAAATGGTTTGGGATTTTTTAACCAATAATAGTTGAGGAAAAGATAAGTGAATGAAATTCCAGGAATCATTCAGCTCTAATGCTGCAAGAGTAATGCAATGCATTGACAAAGACAAGCATCTGTCTGCCAGAATGATGAAAATAACATTGATGTAGGATGGGTACATGTACCAGTGTTAATGTAGGTATGGAGGAGCCCAACTGACCAGCTCTATAGTCTCCAATATAAGTTTTTGGAGGCTCGGGGTGAAACTGCAGTGATGATGCACTGTTGATGGAGATTGACTGCTGGTTTTGGCAGAAGTGAAACCAAATCATCATGTAAATTGTTTTAGTAACAAAACTAGGGAAGTTAATATAGCCCTAAGTTTGTGTTAGGCTATTTTATAGAGTAAATTCCAAGCTGCTTTATTATCAGTTGTGTTCATATATTTTTAAACTAAAGCCCCACATGCTCAGAAAATGCTTTGAGGGCTTTGTTAACAACGTGTCCCTAAGGCTGAACCCCTGCCTTGGCTTAGCAGAAGTTTCCCTGTTATTTTCATGAGCTCAGAACACCACTCTTGTTTAAAAGGCATCTTCATATAGTGCAAGCTAACTGTGAAATACTGTACGTCTGGTGGCATCTTCTAAAGAGTTGTAATTGTTTATGCATTCAGGTAGTAAACCTGCTGAAATAAACAAGATACATCTATATCAATAACTTAAATATTTTTAATATTTAATTAAATATTAAATATGCCCATTAACCATCATGCATTTTAATATAGATAAGACTTAAAGCAAGAACACTGTTGTTATTCCTAGTTCACAGTATATCCATTGCTTGCAGACTATAATCTAGAAACATTAAGCTGTGACAGCCTGCCAGAACTTCTCCTGCAAATGATGGAGTTTCTCTAAAGACGCTTCGTAAAAGCAGCAGCAGCAAACAGAGTGACCCTACAGGTGCAAACTGCAGCAGCTCTCCCTCCAGTCTTCCCAATAAGGTTTGTTGAAACTCTCTGTATCTCAACGTCTTTATTGGTAATGGATACCGCCCTTAATTTGCACTGATGCATTTGGAATGTCAGCTTCCAAAACAAGGCACATGGGAGGCATTTAAAGTAGATTTTTTGAAAGGAAAATGAACAAAGAGCATGTCAGGTTCCATTTTGATTTGCATGACAAATCCTTCATGCAGTGTTCTGGTGGGTCGGGCTGGGCTTGCCTGCCACTCACTGCGTTTGTCACTTTGGTTTGAACACTTCTGACAGTCCGTTATGTTAATTGTTCTAAGGATTGTTTTGCTGGGGAGGAAGAAAAGGAAAGGCATTTGTATTTTTGTGCTTGTTCCATTTACAGGAAAGGAGGGATTTCTGAAGGAACACACAATGTTTTCAGTCTGTTTGTGATCTATTTGATTTGTAAATAATCCTATGAAGTCATCAGCAAGTTCAGTACTTTAAATCTTACTGTTACACACTTTATGCCTGTGGTTTTGAGTGGGAAATACTGGGCCCCTAAACTGGAAACTTGGGGAGTCTATTGTTTTGGTGCACACCATTCTTTCTTCCTTTGAGTCCCGCAGTGATGGGTCCTGCAGAGTGGTTTGTGCTGTGCCTATATGCTTCTATGGGATGATATTGTGGTGCTTTGACAAGTGCTAACAAGGGATTTAATGCCCTCAGAGGCATTGCTGGGCACACATTGTTACCCGTGTGGGGGTAGTTTGTGGACAGCTCTCACATGTGTCAAAGACCTGTTGGTAGATATGTCCATACAGCTGAATTCTCCCAGCAGCACTACTCAAGGTGGAGGTTGCTGTTGCCCTTTGAGGTACACAGACTTCTCTATCATCTGTGTTAATAAAACAGCCATGGCTTGTTTGTTTGGTGGTGGGGTTCCCAACTCACTGGGAGTTGATCACAAAACAGTATTTTCAGACTGACAGAATGATCAACCAGTACGTTTCAGAAGACTTGTTCATGTTTGTATCTCACAGTTGCTGGTTTTCAGCCGAAGGAGACATCAGTGTTTAAAGAATGAGAAGAGCAAGAAGACAGAAATAGAATTTCCTGGATGTTTCCCGGTAATGACTGATATCAACCTTTTAAGCTTTGAATTCCTGCACTGCACATGGTCTGCTTGTGTAACTGTTGTGATCTAAGTGCACTGAGACAAATAAGCTCTAAACAGAGAATGCTTTTACAGTAGAAAATCATGCAGTCAGATGCAGAAATACCCACATAACTGAAGTTAAGCCATCAACTGTAGCAATTCCAATCACATTCTTGCTTAGTGATTCAGTATGCTAATGTAGCTTTTCAGGCCCAGTGTACTCCTGTAGTACTATTTTAGTAGCCTGTTGAATTACTCAAGAATCTGCTTGAGCTGGTCAATCTCCAAAAAAAGAAACCAAATATGTTTAAGAACTTTTTCTGATGATGATGAATAACATTCTACACTACCGTTTTGGGAAGGATTACCTGTTGTGCTGCTTTACTAGAAGCTGAACTTCAGGGAGGTAAACTCACTGACATTTAGGCCCCAGGACGTTGAAGGCGCTGGCTCACACGTGAAGCTGGCATATGTCAGGATGGCTGTTCTGATCCCTGCTCTGTCTGTCCTTACTGTGGGGAGTTCCTCCTTCTGCTGCAAGGATGGCTCTGGGGCACTAACTGAGTTTTGCCAATTCTAGTGTGAATATTCTAAGTGTATAAAGTTGGTAGTAAATGGATAGTATATAAAGGCGACAGGCTAGCATTGTGATGTGCAGACCCACGGGTTATGGCAGTGCAGCGTAGGACATGGAAGCCTCCAGGGTGGACAGTGGCATTGGGAACTGCTGTTGTTCCTGCACAGTGGTTAAGGGGTCCCTCTGCTCCAGGCAGCTGTGGTTCAGAACTGCCCCAGCCACCATGCTCTGGACGCAGCAGACTGCAGCTCTTGGTCTTGTGGCTGGATGGTGACTCTCCATTTCCTGTTCAATCACTTCTGGGAAAACAGTGTCAACTGTTTCCTGTCAGAGTGAAAAGCTGCTAAACCTCTCCCACTAAGAATTCACTTGTGTTTTAATTGGTGCCTAATGTTGACAAGAACCATTATGAATCCAAGTCATGGCAGGTGAAAAAAAAATGACTATTCTTGGTTGTTCTTATGTTTTGTCTTATGGGTGTTTAACAGAAGTCAGTTGCTCACGTTCTCGCTCTGTCCTCAGCACCATGCTTGAAGCCATTTTACTATCAGAAAAGGGAAGGATCACCCACAGCTTTTTTGGCTCTTAGATATAAAAAGTGCCACGCCAGAAGTCCTCTTGCTCATGTGCTTGCTGTCTGAGAAACAGCTGCTGCCCCTTCCTCCGTGAGGGAGCGATCCTCACCACAGGAACATCATCCTGATGTCTGATCTCACTCTCCCCTCTGTCATTTTAAAGCCATTCCCCCTTGTCCTGTCCCTAGATGCCCCTGTCAAAAGCCCTTCTCCAGCTTGTTATCAGCCCCTTTAGGCACTGGAAGCTGCTCTAAGGTCTCCCAGAGCTTGCTTTTCTCAGCTTGTCTCCATAGCAGAGGTATTCCAGCCCTCGGAGCATCTTTGTGGCCTCCTCTGGACTCAATGTTGTTGTTAATCCCAGAATTAAAGTCCCGTGGAGCCTGGAGGAGCGGTTTATCCCGGTAGGAATCCCACCCGAAGCCATGTGCCCGCCTCCGTTGGGGCCGACACCACACACGCTGCTCACCGCCCGGACCTGGACCCGGCGAAAGGCCGGCGCAGCCAGCAGGGGGCGGCAGAGCGGCGCGGGCCAGCCCCGGAAGGCCGGCAGTGGCGGCGGTGTGGGCGCACGCGTGAGGCCCGGGTGGTGCCGGAGCCATGGCGGAGCGTGTGGAGCAGCGGCTGGAGGACCGCATCCCGGAGCTGGAGCAGCTGGAGCGGGTCGGGCTCTTCACGCGGAAGGAGATCAGGTGAGCTGGAAGGCGGCGGCACCGCCTGCACGGGGAACGGTAGCGAGCGCTGCCGGGGCGGCCGGGCTGGATGCGTTCGCTGATGGCCCCTTCCCGCAGGGCCGTCCTGAGGAAGGCCTCGGCTCTGGAGTACAAGATACAGCGGCGAGCGCTGCGGAAAGAGGACTTCATTAGTTACATTCAGGTAGGCTTTGCTGATAGCGGGGCGTGCGAACCCGCCGTGGAGATCCAGCTCAGTTAGAAGTGAAGGGGTCTTGCAGTTACCCACGTAGGAAACGGGGCCCTGGTGTTCCCTTGGAAGTCGTTTATTAGCACAGGCGCTTAATCAGGACACACTAGAGTATGCAGCGCAGCCAGTTTGGGACGAGGGACTCTTTCTTATTGTGGCCTTTCCCTATAGTTTCTTTTCTCTGCAGGGATGCAGAAATCCCAGTTCCCTGATGTGATGTGCAGATTGCAGTTCAGTGTAATTAATTTCTTGAAGTGTTACAAGTTTGGCTTGTGCATTGTGACTCGATGAGTATGAGATGCTAATAGCTCAAGTCAGAAATGCCATGCGCAGTAGAAGTACTGAGTTTCAGTCAGCCTTAGAAATGTAGTGATCCGGCCAAAAACTTGTAACTTTAGCTTTCCTGGATGGAATTTTATTGCCCACTTGATTAGCTATAAAAATCTTGATCTGTAGTTTTTTGCTTATTCTTATGCATTTCCTCATTTGCTTTTAAATGTTTTGGGTTTTTTCCTCCCCATTCTAGTATGAAGTTAATCTGCTGGAGCTGATCAAGAAGCGAAGAGCAGTAAGTTTGTCAGTTATTCACTGTGCAAAATCCTTTATGTCAAATTTGCTATTGCAGTAAAACTAATATTTCCGTTTTGCCTCCTAGCGCATTGGGTATTCGTTTAAGAAGGATGAAATTGAGAACTCTATTCTGCACAGAGTCCATTGCCTCTTCAAGCGTGCTACAGGAAAATGGAAAGTAAGTTTGTTTATTTGTATTGATAGATTGAAAAATGCCTTTTTGGTGTGTAAAATGATCACCTTGTTATTGCCACCAATATTTGCAGTAATATAGAACGTAGCAGAAAAACTAAGTGGATGTTTGGTCTTGCAGTTCGCAGTGCCCTAGAAGGAGATAATTTGTTTGGGATAAACATTTTTCATATATAAACAAAATTTTATCATTCCCAAGTCATTATTTCTCAACTGTCTAGAGCACGTACTGCAGTGTGACTTTGGTCTGTCTGCTTGTAAGGACTAGGAAACGGAATGAGGAAAAACTTTCAGCTGCTTCAGGAAAAGCTTGTCTTGATACATGTGTGTCTCAGGACACGTTACAGTGAGCTCTGTATTGGGTTCAGTGTAACATAGATTTGATTGGAGAGGCTTAGAGGCAGTGTCTTGAGATGAGGAGGTTGTTTGCTTGGGATGTTCTGGAGGAATTTGAAGATCTGTGGGGAAAAAAAGGGATTTGACATTCAGAATTCCTTCTATCTGTACGCCAAGTCATCAGACCAAGGGCATATTGTTTGCTTGTCAATGTGCAACTGATTTTGTGCTTGCCTTATTGTAAGGTTGATTCTCTCCCCCTTGCATTTCCAACAGGAAGATATCCAGCTTTGGCTTTCACATGTTGCATTTTGCAAACAGTGGGTGAGTTTTCAAAATGCTGATTTTATCTGTGAAGTGCTGGACTGGTTCTTAATCAGGTGCCTGGAACTTGAATTACATGACAGGGGTACAGACTTTACTGCCACATGCTGTAATACTGAAATAATTTTGACAGTAGTGTTGGAGCTGCCTGGGTTTTTCACTGGTGTAAGTGTAGAATTTGACTTGGAATGAATTAGTATGAAACATGCTTGCAGGTGACAGGGGTGAAGCTGAGTGCATTGAATCTGGAATACTGTTTGGTTTGGGAGAAGCTGAATATTGGATTTGTATTTGGATATACTTTTAATATTGGATATACCTTTGCTGGAATGACTGGGTCACCTGTCCATGAATTGTGATTTTGTTCCAAACATTTCTTACATTTCTTATATGCGGAAAAGTATAATTCTCGCAATTCAGTACTTTGTAAACTTACCTGTGCAAGTCTTCAGGTTATGATTAACATTCTGTCATTGTCTGTCCTGTGCTGAAGAAGGTGACCCTGTCCGAGTAATGCCAAGCGGCCAAAGTAAGAAGTGCAGTCTTTTACCTCAAAACTAGTCAGTGAGACTGTATGTTTGTGGCTTAGGGCACATTGGTGTTGGCTATGTAGTTGATAAAGGTTTGAGTTAACTGTGCTGATCAAGCCTGCTAACATTTGAAAGCTGGTCAGTATTGAACAAAAATGAAAACTTGCTACTGAAGATAAAGTGGTCGAGAAGTGTCTTTTCCAGTACAGTTGCATTACAACTTGTAACCTTTCATAATGAAACTTTGGTGCTGGTGGTTGGATGGTACTAGAGTGAGTAAAACAAAACTTCTTTTACAGAATGCAAAACATG